AGATGAACTGAAAGGCCTAGCCACTCTCGAGGCTTCTGGCAAGTTAGCAGCGAAGGGCTGCACACAAGGAGGTGCACTGAGCGGCCTTTGTTCCTCCGCCGCATCTTCCGCGTGCCTAGAGAATGACGGCGTTGAAGTCGTTGGGTCTCTGGCCAACAGGGCGGTTGTAGCGGACACTTTCTCCTCGAACTGAGCGACAAGTTTCGACACAAGACCTTGGGCGACTGGGATGGCACCGTCTGATAGCGACCGAGTACGGCGGGAGCTTTCAGAATCCCAAAGTGAGCTTGAGGTGCTGCGAGCGAGGTGTTGGTGAAGACGAGAGGAGATTGGGGACCAAGAACGAGGCTCATGGAGTTTGTGGTGCGAGGCAGAAGGTCTGCCTTCTTCGTCATCGTAATCAGGATCGTCGACTTCGTGGGTGGTGTTGAAGGGCGCGGTTTCGAGCATAAGAGACGGATTGGAGATGATGGGAGTTTCTGATACCATTCCGTGAACCGGGGAAGGTCGTTTGCTGTCGAAGACGCTTGTCTCCACATTGTGCAACGGGAGACTAAAACTCTCCTCTACTTCAGGGTAGTCGCGAGGTGGGGCTGGTAAATAGGACACTGTCTTCGGTGTCAACCGAGGCAAAGCTTCGATCTTCGCAGTGGCGAGTGGAAGGGCGTTGATCTGGGACTGGAAGCCAATCAGCGACTCGGATAGCGAGGAGAAGGGGATTACAGATTGTTCACATACCCCATGACTGTTGTCCCAGTCCACTGGCGAGAACATACCATCCTTGGGAGACCACTGGTAGAACGTATAGTTACCCTCTTCGTCTTCCTCTGAATCTACTTCCTCTTCAACCGGAGTGACACCGTTGTCATCAGTCCCGTTAACAACCTGTTGCAGCCCCTGCGTATCGTTGTCTCTGTGAGGAGCGATGATATCGGTGGGCCAATCCACCTGCGATCCTAGACCAACTTCGTACATCTCCCCGAGGTCTACGTCCACCAACTTCTCTTCCGGAATCTGGGGCAGTGACGCAGTTTGGTCGATCAAGCCCAAGTCAGCTTCCTTGGGCTCTTCCTCGCATTCCGCTTCCCTCTTGCGCCTACGACGACTGTGAGACCTGGACATGGCATGTGTGTGCTCAGTCCATTTGCCAACACTCATGCCGCCAGTTTCCGACTGGGGCGCCTTGATCTTCACGTAGTCATCATCAGGTGCAGGGACTAGAACCACAGTGGTTTCTTCGGTTGGGATCGTCAAGGTGATAGTTGGGGCTCCAGGGTGGGTTGTGCCATTGCGAGTAGCAGGGGTTGAATTGCTTTCGATTGCCGAAGATGATAACAGGGAGGGGACAGCGATCCGCTTTACCCTGCGCAGAGTCTTCGGAGGGCTCGACGAGGTCGACGAAGACGGGGAAGAACCTGGACATCAAGCTGGTCAGAATATCGCCGCCCCTGACTGTAGCAACGAGAGACATACCAGAAGGAGACCCGCAGGGTTCAGGGATCAGAGGCTTGGAGCGGCTGAGGTCAAGGAGAGCAGGAACAGGTTTGCGGTGCACTCTTCTCCTGCTTTTCTTTGGTGTGAGCATCGAGGAATCAAGAGTGTCATCATCGTGTTGCGGACCCTCAGAGGCTAAGGAAGAGCCAAGGGGCAAGTACCCGTAAACGCGGAGCTGCGTCACCAGTTCTACAAGGGGCGTTCGCCTAATCGCAGGAGGCCCAACGATTGGAGGTGCATTGACGGAAGGTGTAACGGCCCCCGACTGAGCGTCCCGACTGTAGGGCATTCCGTTCTCCACGAACGGCTCAGAAATTTGTGGGAGTGCATTGTGGGAGTGCAAAGGGCTGGAAGGTGGTGTAGTGGGCTTAGGGATGGTAGAGGGGCGACAAGGAACTCTTCGAGGGAGGGACGAGGTATGGGCTTTGGAAGGGTGAAGGGACTTGCGGATGGGATTGCGAGGGGGAAGTGGGGGAGTCTCAGCGTTCACGATGAGTCCGGAAGGAGAGGCCACATGTGTGCCACCGTTGGAATCGATGCTGGCGACAGTATTAGGCGAGGAATTAAGGGAAGCATTATAGAAACGTTTGTAGAAAGTGACCATAGCACAATAATGATGAATTCCTTAAGGTAGTAGTTGAGAATCGTAGGCGATGTCGTGAAAAGTTGAAAATAATCCTTAGGCCGTCACTGCTGGGATTGGGGATGGGGTAGAAGGCGCGTCGCTGGGAGTCAAGGTATGGTTTGGAGACCTGGAGGCTGTCTCCCCTTCTGAAGTGTAGTGGTGAAAGAAGATAAGGCTAGCCGCTCGTGGCTATATAAGAGCGCAACGCATGAGCGCCTAATGGTGGGGATGGAGACAGTGGGGGTTTGTCGGGATTAGAAGTGGAAGCGAGGATCTATTGTATTCCCAGAACGCTGTTAAGGGGAGTATTGTTTTCCGTAGGAGTACTGGCGCCCACAAGACAACCACTTGTCATCTTGCCCTGCATATTGTGTTTTCAAGGGTCGTTTTGGCATTGCCACGATGAACAGCTGTCGAACTTAAGAGCTCTTGATGGTTGGCGACCCCAATTTGGCAGATATGTGGGCGACCTAACGATAACAATGCACGGTTGCAAGTGTGGACGCAATGTCAATCTTCAGCATTGCGAAGGGTTTCCTTTCTTTGTCTCCTATTTGTAGGCGACGCAAAGAGTTGTGACGATGGTACAAACAAGTTGAGCTGACGAAGAAGCATGTCACATCTGTGCGGGGATCGCCAAGCTGGGTGGAGGGGAGCGACATGTAGACCGGGGATTGAGAAATTGAGTCAAGGAGAGAATTGATTATAAGCGTTTGATGAAAAAGGAGATTTAGAAACAACTCACCAGTCGTAGACTGAGCAGATCGACCACGGCCATGTTTCAGACCAAGGAGCGCGCAGGGCGACGTGGCTGCCCCCCAACGGTAAGCGTTTTACCCGCTACCGTGTCTCAGAGAAATTGAAGCTTGAGAGCTGCTAGAGCAAGATGCTTCGAGCTACGACCGCCTCCTGGATGAAAAATGGTAGTCGACTTCATGATGAGGCAGGAAGATATTGGCATGTTGAACGTTGATCAATATAGTCCCCTCTTAAGGCAATTCTGGAGTAGTTCTGAAGCAGTTCTTGTTATCTTTGGTTCCAAATGCTGAAAGCTCGTTGAACGTACCGGGTCAAGTTGCAGATTACGGACAAGAGAGAAGGGCAGTTGTGATCTTCCCGCAATGATGCGCTGATGCGGTATGATGCCACGGATCGTTTTAGAAGAGCAAATGGTTGCAGTTCTCGTATCGCAGGCTCGAGAAAGATCAGGTTATTCAGGTAAAGACATAAAGCAGAGGCCAAATTATGACTAGCGTCTTTGAATCTTGGACCGTATGATAGCTAAGTACAGGATTCGTGCCAGTCCTGGAGATAGAGCAATAGTACTGACACCCGGCTACCAAACCCTTGGAGTCGCGTAGGGATCGTACTGTTTGACCCACTGCTCTAGGGACATCCTCTTTGCGGGAAGAGGGGTCGGAAGGTGCGGCTTTTGCAGCTCAATCACCTTTTTCGCCATGGGAGACATCAGAGTCAAGTCAGACCCCCAGTGCCTCTTCAGGTCATTCAGCCAGCCAAACGTCGAATCCAAGTCCCAACTCCCGATGTACATGAGTTCCTTGATACATGCCACCGTACTCTCGAGAAGCTCTAGCTTGCGTCGCCCATCATGGGTAAGGAGCTCTTTCCAAGTTTCGCCCCAGATGCGATTGAGAACCGGGATTGGAATGACCGAATTCATTCCATAGTGATAGAAGTTCCAGAGGTCTTTGTGAGCGTTGCTTGGGTGGAGCCCTGGCCAGAGATTGTTGGTGATAGGAATCCATTTCCGTCGGATCCATTGATAGCGTCGTTGGCCAGTATGTAGCTCCTCGTATCTGAGGCTCTCTTCCAGTCTAGTGAGTTCATACGTCTGATTGCCATGATCCTCCCAGTTCATAGGCAAAACCTCTCGAGTGTAGTAATAACCAAACGGGCCGGTGGTGAATGTTTCCAGCTGCTCGTACAGCTGGTGGTGCTTCTTGAGGTACAGCATGTGTAGTGCCGTGGCGATAAATGGATGGTATCGAGTGCCGAAGTGCTCCAGGTTGAGTAGGGCACTTTGCCCATAGCGAACGACGCTAGTGCCAACTTCTTCCCCATTACAAAACCAGAGAAACATTTCCTTGTCAGAAATATCCTCACGCGGATTGACTCCTTTCAAAGTCACTGATTCAATGCGCAAGCACCATGGCTCTGGGCAGTGAAGGTCGTCAAAGTTGAGCAGGAGAATCCTTTCGCTTCCAATGACTTGTAAAGAAAGAGTTGCTCCCGAACCAACTCTTAATTCGGAGCGACACTCACTGGTCTTGCAGACCTTTGCCATGTACCCATAAGTGCCGTCAGCCGCCTGGCCGTTTGCTAGTACCATTGGAGAGAAGCCGCGAGGGTGCTCAAGCCGATAATGGTCCTTAGGCGCTGGTTTCGAAGTTGCTTTGGTGAAGTTGTGATTGGGCATGATGGTGAGCAACGAGAGAAGGGATTGAGGTTCGAGGAGATATGTGAGGCTTTGGTGTTCAGATCCGCTCTTTTTATAATCCAGGATTGCTGCACAAAGCGGTGGGGTACCACACATGGTTTGGCCACAATTTCAAAGTGGTTGACAAAGTGGTTGGCAGTGTGGCGTTGCCACACTTCAAGTCATTCAAGCGCGAACTCGCTCCTGGCAAGTGTATCCCTGGTCAAAGCGGGAGTGGACTAGGCAAGTGATACCGTAAATGCTGGCCCTGATTTTAAGCAGTCACCGGCTCACTGTCATAACGCGATCGACCTTGTCTACGGATAGGTGTGGTGACCGTGCATACTGCCCGAACACTGTTAGGGTGGTGTTTAACATCAGCATATCCTAGCTCTTAGTATCTACGGTTCTTATATTGCAGAAATCGACGACATAGGTGTCACTGGTTCGATGGCGTAGTTGGTAGTCGCATCTGTCAAATAACGTGGCGCGACGCTGTCAGTGTTCCGTTGACAGCGCCGCGCTATGGGACACAGAAGGTCCTCAGTTCGAGCCTGAGTCGAATCATGTTTTTGCTTTGAATGATTCCGCGAAGCAGGAGAAGCGCCTTTCTATCAGCTTCTTCAAGTTAAACTCCGAATCCGCATCCCGAAGCACATACAGCGCGATATGTGGTAGAATTTGTGCTCAACGACAACCATAGGAAGCAAAAATATGCATCTAACTGTAATTGGAAGGACTGCCACAAGACCTTTACATAGGAAAGGCACCCAACCGTTGGTCCTGAACCAGCGTAAGTAGTTACTAGAGAGGTGGACGCTTGATCCGATGACATTCCGCAGGTTCCTCAGGTAACTTCTTAGGATATAGATACAAGATACGATACAGAAGATGGCATTTCAAAGTGTTCTTTGCACAACTATTATCAATCAGTCACTGGGAATACCCATACGGGGGGACCTCGTACGAATAAGCGCCTTGGCCCCTATCAATGTTGGAAGCAAGCAAGTGCAAACAGATTTCTGGGTTCCGTCCGTTTCGGCGTTTCCAACTTTCCACTTCAACAACTTCGCAGCACTTACCGACCGCCTTGTACTGGCAGCGCCTTACCACTTTCTTTGTCGCCATTACGGATAACTGACCGCTGCTTTGATATCCTTCCGGTTCTGCTCTGCCGTCATCGGATATTATGGGCGACAATCACTGATTGGCAAATGAATCACAATCACTCGATGCGCTCCTGTTTCTAGGGACTGAAACTCGTCCACAACGGTGTCATGCTCAGCCGACGCTGTGCATGAGCCCTCCTGGCCAGTACAATTCTAAGTTCCGGCTTTGGAAATCCTGCCTAGTTGGGTCTAGAGTGGCTTTTAGGATCGACACTGTCGTGTTATGCTAGATGCCCATTGTGTCGGAGGCGCACCTGTCACTTGTCGATCGAGGCTGCAGCCCTTCTCTATATACGAGCCTCTTGAAGCCCCACCATAAGGCTTCGCACCAGAAACAAGACCCGGTTGAGGACGCCCTCGCCAACGAGTACCGCAAACCACCCGTGGAGATCGCTCTTGATCAAGCATCTCAAGCGTTTGGATACTCCCAATACATCGGTACACTCACACCCGTTTTCTCCTGTCTCGTCTGTCTACATATGTGCATACACACAAACTTATCACCGTGTGCCGCACTCCTCTTCTCCGGCGGTGTTTGTGTGCGATATTTGGGTCCATGTGCTGCCGAGCGCTGGTTAGGATTACCGAGGAGGTTTGTGTATATATAAAGGCTTGCGAGGCTGCTTCGATACCTCGAACCGAAATGCCGCTCGCTGAAAAGGCCCCGGCCGCTCCCTCATCGGAAGGAAAAGGACTCAAGTTTTGGTTGATAGTTGCATCGCTATGCATCACTCTCTTCCTCAGTGCTCTTGACTATGTGAGCCACGCGCATGCTATTTCTATGTGGCCATTACTGACCATCCGTGAAGACTGCACTGGCATCGGCTCTTCCTGTAATTGTTCATGACTTGCAGGGATCAGATTTTTCATGGATCGGAACTGCGTATGCGGTAAGGCTTTCTGGCCCCTAGCTATCGACCACGGTCTGACCTGCCATGCAGCTATCGTCCACCGCATTTCTCCCTATGAGCGGAGGGCTTGCCCAGGTTAGCCGCTCATGATTGCTCATTTCCATACACTGTGAATGACGATAATGTAGATCATCGGTCGTCGGCCTTCGTTCGTCATCGCTCTAGCCTTTTTTGCCCTAGGTAGTGCCCTATGCGGTGCCGCTCAGAGTATGAACTGGCTCATTGCCGCCCGAGGTATGTCCTGCCCTTTCTCGTTGGCATTCCCTGTCTGATTCTTTGGCAGCGATTCAGGGCGTTGGGGGTGGCGCAATCATCTCACTGGCGAGCATCGTTATCAGCGATATGGTATGTCTTCCCGGTCGTCGCGGACTTCTAGATTGCTAACAGATGCGCCTATAAGGTCACACTGGCTGAGCGGGGAACGTACAATGGCATACTGGGGCTGTGAGTATGCTTTGTATAATTCCGTGGCCGCACACTGAGCAGACGATCAGGACCTGGGCCGTTGCAGTCGCTATCGGCCCTCTCGTTGGAGGTGTCCTTGCTGAAAAAGGCCAATGGAGATGGCTATTCTGTATGTTCATCAATGAAACCTGATCAGTTCACCTTCTAACACCTTCCAGACCTTAATTTGCCTATCTGCGGAGTAGCATGCATCTGTGTTGTTGTCTTTATGGACCTTCCGACGCCACAAGGCACTTTCAAGGAAAAGTTCTTTGCTATGGATTGGATGTAAGTCACACTGCCCCCTTTCAACTGGCCCGACTAAGAATCTATTACAGAGGAAACCTTCTCGTGATCAGCAGCTCTAGCGCTCTCGTCTTAGCCTTGACCTGGGGTGGCGCTCGTTATCAGTGGACTGAGCCACAGGTCCTGGTACCACTGATCCTAGGTCTCCTGGGCCTGGCGGCCTGGTTAATTTATGAAATCCGGTGGGCAAGCCACCCTATGGTCTCACCAGAGCTGCTCGGGAATCGCACTAGCATCTCAGGGTAAGTTTACATTTCATACCTTCGGGCTTCAGAACTTGCGTCCTAACCTGCGATCCTAGATATCTCCAAGTCTTCATCAACTCATTCTATGTTATCGCTGTTATTTGTAGGTCGCGTCCTTGACCGTCTTCCGAACAGAATGACTCAATGCACACAGATTACCTACCAGTCTACTTCCAAGCATGTAAAGATGCGGGTCCAACTCGGTCTGGAATCGAAATGTTTGGTGTCACAATTACCGTCGGGTATGTAATCCTTTTTCTTTCCGACTCCCCTTCTTGCTGACAATACGGTCTACAGCCCATTCATCGTGGCCGCCGGAGTTAGCGTGACACTGCTGAAGGTGTATCGCCCACAGCTGTGGGTTGGCTGGGCTCTGACCACCATTGGGATGGGCCTCCTTGGCTTAGTTAGAGCGGATTCCCCTCTCTCTTGGGCCATTGGGCTACCTTCTTTGCCTGCTGTTGGAGCTGGGATTATCTTTGGTTAGTAGCATGCTTATCGAGAGTACGGTCGCGAACTCACGCTGGCAACCCTAGCTGTTTCGTATTTCCCAGTTTTATCACCTCTTCCCGTGACTCTGAACGCGCAGGCCTTGGCCCTATTTGCGTTCCTTCGGTCTATGGCGCAGGTAGGCTCTACAGCATGGATATATCTTTGCGTCCTAACTGTCTGCTTAGATCTGGGGTATCTCGATTGGAAGCGTCATTTTGACAAATGGCTTGGTCAAAAATCTACCTCAACAGTTCGTCAAGCACGCTGCAGGTGGCATCGAGCATGTTTACGCTCTGATTCCAGAAATCAAACGATTGCCCCAGCCTCTAAAGTCCGAGGTCCAAGAGGCATTCGGAGAGAGTCTGCGACCAATATGGTACACCATGGCTGGACTGGCATTCCTTGGATTCCTCTCATCTCTCTTCATGGCTGACATCCCCCTTCACAACTACGTCGACAACAAGTTTGCGATGGATAGCAACGCTAGTAGCCAGGTGCTTTTCAAGAAGTATGGCGATGTCGAGGGTGCAGTTGCATCTGAACAGCGCGATTGGTGATCTCCATGAGGGCTTTACTACAGTGATCTTATTATATCTATTATCAGTCAGAGGTCTATAATTATCTCAATGTATTTCAGTGGTCGGACCTCGATTGCCGGGCTTTTACCGCGATGATGGAAGCACCCCGCTTTGGGACGGATATGCCGCTCAGACTCCACCCTCATCGATGCATCAAGGAACCATTCAAATATTCTGAGGAGAACCGTCTACTCCTTGGCTCCTCCAGCCCTACCATCCCACCCACAACGACGGCTATGGGGAGGTCCAGGTCACTTGGCATAGGCTTGTGCTGACGACAGCGGTCTGACAAGGCGATTTGCGTGGCACCGGCATTTTCGACATCCCAAGCGCGTGCAGTGCACTGCCTTGAGAGGGACAAGCCCCTCGCTGTCCCCACGGACTTCATCTGCTTCGCTTTGTTCGGTGGTCGTCATGCGCGAAGCAGCCAGCCACGAACCACACCCACAAACACAAGGCTTGTGCGTTTTGCTCTCAATTGGTTATAAAGAGGACACCGAGATCAATTAGCCGCCCACCTTCTCTTGCTGCTGTTACCCCGTCTACGACTCACTGCACGGCGACCATCTGTCACCGAACCTCGCGTCACTGCTTTGGAAAGTTTTTAGTCACTTTTACGTGCTAAAGTCGGCCGATTTGTCTTTGCAACTTAGACATATACCCTCTCCTTGATCTTGCGACGATCCCTCTCCCACCATGTCAAATCTCATGCGGAAACTCAGCATCCCCAAACCCAAAGCCTCCGCAGACATCGAGAAGGTGTCCAATAGAGCACCACCAAGCAAGCCAGTCGACGCGCATAAATCGAGAGCACCCAAACCAGACAAACAGCCAGTCATGTACCAGCTACAACCGCCAGAACCGAAACTGCGTCACAGAGCCGCCAGCGTCTCGACCACCACCGCCGTTATTGTCCCAGTGCCTGTAGTCGTGCCAGAACCGAAGGACGAGCTCGCCGCGTTCAGCATGCAGCTGGGTGATGTACGGAAGTTTATCGCAGAACAGCAGAAGGTCAGGGTGGAACAGGAGGCGTTACAGCGGGCAACAGCACTTCATCAGGAGCTGTATAAGAAGAAGAAGGCTAGCGATGCAGCACGGCATGGACTACGGCCGCGAAGTCCTATGAAAAACCGGAGATAGAGGAGAGGGTTACTGTTGGAGAGGGTTTGCAGAGACGATTTAACGCTTATTATTACTTCTAATTCTTATGTTTTTACGTCTCGGTTTGTAATCTATTTCTATGAACTTGCTTGTCAGTGCTGTTCTGATAGCCATCGAGCGGAAGATTCGTTCCTGACAGATCATGTCTTAGAGCGATGAAAGCAAGAAGCTGGAGGGTGTTTCGCATTCGAATATGACACGGTACATGGAGGGTGGCTTCATAAAGATAAGAATAATTGCATGGCAACTGTGCGACGAAAA